GGCCGCCCCGTGGCCGAGTGCGCTGGGCTGCCGGCCCCGCTGCCCGGCCTGGCCGCCGCGGATCTTCTCAGCGGGGACGCGCCCGGGACGCCGACGCCGAGCAGCAGCCGAGGCCCGGCAGAGCCGCCGTCGGACGCCGACGCCGTGCAGGTCTGTAAGCCGACCACCCGGTCCTCCTCTCGCCCCCTGCCTTGTCTTCACTCCGATTTTCTGTGAGTGGGTGCGTGTGTGTGTTTGTGTGCGTGCGTGCGTGTGTGTGTGGCGGCAGGGGCTTTGTCGCGTTTGCGCGGGTCATCAGCAGACGCACGCGTAGGCTCACCGGGAAGGTCGTGGCCAGGCGAGTCGTGTGCTGTTTGAGGCGCTATGCGTCAGTGATGGTGGACGTGGATCCTCACTGTATGCGTTCGAGGTCTGCTGATTCTGCTTGAGGGGGCGGGGCGAATGCGGTGGGCGTTTGCAGATGACCAGGGTGGTTGGGTTTCCTGATCTGTTTTTTCCCGAGGAGATGCCCTTGAAGCTGACTGGTAGCGTTGAAGGCGAAACAGGTGGTTTATGTTGTTTTGGCAATGTATTCCCACGGGAGCTGTGAATGTGTGTCTGAATGAGTCAAACGCTAGGCTGGTGAAGTGACGGGGCTGCACTTCATCTTTGAAGGAAGAAGAAAAGCAAGTATCTGCGGCTAGCTTTTAGTTCCTCTCGCTGGGTTTGGGCAGCTCTGGGGACGCCGATATTTCTAGGACAGAAGCAGAGGTATGCAGGTGTTCGCAGCCGCGCTGAAAAATGTGTCGCGGCCGCAGTGCCGGCAGCGTTTTCCGCGTGTGGGAAACGTATGGAGTCAGGGTATGTTCATCCCGCTGAATCGGTGCGGTATGGAGAGGGCGGGCGGGAGGGGCGATCTGTGTGTGCCTTGTGTGGGTGTGTGACGCGGCGATACTGACGGACCGTCTGCTGCTGGAGGAACCTGTCTCGAGGAGTCACTCCCGGAAGGAATGTCTGAGGGACAGCTCAGCACGGGTGAGTTATACCGTCCTCGGCCTCCTCAGCGAGCTTGCCCAGCCTATCTCTTTTTCCCTTTTTTTCCATCTGGGAATGGCAGTCATTCAACATCACTTCGCAGCACACGGCTCAATAACTCGGAGAGATGATCTTGGTTCTTTTCGTTTAGACTTGCCTGTCTTACCGTGAAGTTTCAGTTGTGCCCTTTAGAAACGACATGCGATGCTCGCAGTTATGTTGGTAATATGTCGGTGAGCTATTACGGGGGTGAATTTTACCGGCGGTTGATCATGTGGGCATTGAGGGGAGCGATGGGAAAAGGCTCTCGAGGATCGAAACTGAGGCAGACCTTTCATCTTGTTCCAACGATTCCTTCATTTAGTGTTTTCAGATAGCTCAGTGAAATAGATCTAAGATTTACCTCGGTCTATTCACTTAGTGAGAGCTGCGACTCTGTGGTCCTTTAGTCTATTTTCTCTTCCAACTTGGTTTTCTTCGTAACCTGTCCTCGACGTGCACATCAGTGATATAACATTTGCTCTCCGTCTTCCTTTCACTGGGGAGCCGGAACTGATACTTGACTGTCGCTTAGTGCTTGGAGCTGAGCAGGAAGGTGGTTTGGGTTCACCAGCTGCTGCTGCCACTGTCTCTTCTGGAGCCATGGCGGGTCTGCAAATACTGTAAGAGTGAGTCACTCTGCATACGATTTCTCTGCAACTCGAGCTTGAAGGAATCCCAGTATGCAAACTAATAGCACTCTTACTCTTAGCTACCACATATTTCTGCTTCTCTTCCTCTTGTCCGTCCAAATCTTGTTTTCAGGAGCTCTGAGAGGTATCGCCTTGAATTGTCTGGCTTCCCATAAAAGCGAATGAGGGAGAATGTCCCCAGATCAATCGAACTATAAGAGATGGGAATTTTTAACCTTCTGTGCCTTTGCTGAGTGGAGAGATCTTTGCGTTGTACTCAGGACTCTGCTTATGGCCATCTTACTACTCCTGAAGGTATTGTGTAGACACACTACTCTGGAGTAATTGTCGTGTGTGTACTCATATTAAGACATACTTAAGAATTTCGATATACATGTTAGAAAGATAATTGATTCAGTAAATAGAATTTAGGGAAGAGACAAACCATGTTAAGAAAGTAGCAGGGGCTGGGGAAAAAAAGTCAAGATTCAGGCCTCGTTTCAGAGTCAATAAGTGAAGAGGCTTGAAGTTTTTTGAACTGTAGCTCGAAGGGAACTGTGGATTGTCTTATTTTGAGATCACATGTAAGAGGGAAAACTATCAGTAATTTTGTTGCATAGAAGTTTACGAGAAAAGAAAACTAATTTCAGGACGGTGAGTCTGTAGACATGGTCTGTTATAGAGAAGGTCCAGAATGAATAGGTTGACCTAAGTGTTAGTCCTTTACGGATGCAGTAGAGTTGTGGTGGAGATTAGCACATCAAATTTTCACCCATTTTCCTTGTGGGTCTTTAAATTCTTTCAGAACTTTTTTTTTTTTTTAAGATTACTAATGTTGCATTTTAACGCTTTGAAGAGTATGCTTTTATCAAATTCTAAGAGCTGGTGATAAGAACGTACTAGTAGTAAGTACTGTTGATAAGATTTAATTTTCACCGTTGATTATTAGGTGTGAAAGGAAATAGCTGAACATGTAGAGAAGAAAGACTGCATCAATCCATGTTACATTGCTGACTTTATATAAGCGCTGAAATATTTTGCTTCTGAGTCTAATCTGTCTGTTCACGGCAGTTAGCAGGACTGTGTAGGAGAACACCCCGCGTGTCCAGGGTCGATTTCCCTATTGCTCTGCTTGTGCTGTGTATCTCACATTGATAAGGGTGATTTGCAGCCGTTCTACAATGCTGTCAATTATGACAAGATGCGAGATAACAGATAATCAGCTGCAATATTTCCAGCCAAATTATGCAGGACATGAGCCTCTCTGTCTTCGATAAACACCTAGGCGCTGATTTCGAGTCAGTTTTCTTTCCTGGCCAACATCTTTTTTTTGGTTATTAAACTTCTGATTATGATAGAGCTGTTGGCTTTCCCGTATCAAGTTTTCTTGTCCCCTTCCCTTTCCACGATGACAATTTTGCATGGTTTCGTGGATGACTGACACTAAACTCCGAAATTGCAGTAGTTTCATTTGTTTGCGTGTTCATAACGTTGGAAAAACGCTGCATCAGAAGTTATTGTTGACAGCAACAACTCGAAAAGTACGACAGGCAGCTCTGGAATTGGCTCTTTCTCGCCCAGGCGCCCCCGGTGCCGTGACTGTTACTGCACAGGAGCGGGATGGACTTTTCCATGTACCGACGTGCCCCAGCTCCCACACTCAGTGAGGCCAGTAGGACCCAGACTATGATTTCGTTGTGCCTGGGTCAGGGAAATAGGCACCGGGAACCAAGCTGGGAGCTGCGAGAGCAGGAGAGAGACCAAAAATTAGATGCCTCGGAGAGGGGGAGGTACCTCTATCTGCTGCTGGCTCGCCTGGCCGCGTATCCCACACACGTGGCTTCTGTATCTTTCTTTCAATGATATCTCGTAGGAAGATCTCCACTGGGAAAGTAATGATGATTGGGAGTAAGAGGTGCGATGCTCCTTAGGGACACTACAGCAGGAGATGCCCTCCAGGGTAATTGTCTGCTGTAGGCAGAATAGCTACTTGTAGCTCAGCAGCACGAAATCGGTGTCGCTCAGTCGGCGGGGTTGCCTGGCTGCACGCAGACATTGGCTGTCGCGACCCTGTGAGATGTTAGGAAAGGCTGAAGTAGCACCCGGGAAGACCCAGGTCCTTTCGGGATTCTGACGCCCGGAGACGGCATAGCGCGTTGTGCCAAGGCTGTGCCCCGAAGCCCTGCCGTGCACTGCCCCCCCATCAGCCTCCTCCACCGCTCCACCTCCTTTTTTTGCTTCTGCTCCCTTTCTCCGAGGAGGTATTCTTTTTCCGGAGGACTCCTCTGTTTTCTAATCGCCTCATTTTCTTTTTGCGTCATCTTCTCCGCTAACTCCTACACATTCCTGCCCTCACACGCAGTCCACGTGTCAGATCTATTAGCTTAGTTCCTCGCAGGGAGGTGCTCTCCCTTCTGTCCACGCCGGGTCAGCAGATCACCTGGCTGCTTTGCTCTCAGGGTTGGGGTTTCAGCCGATCTGCCGTCTAGAGGTATGAACCGTGGACTTCAGCGCCGGTACCTTCGGGTCGGTCGGTGCGCCGCTCCCTGCCGTGCTCCGCGACCGGCTGGGGCCC